GTGCAGGTTAAATGAAACTCATAAAAGGGAATTTATGAAGGAATTTACCTGTGATCCAGTTGACTATGTATTTCCTTTAAAATCTATTGGCCTATAGTTTTTTGTTGTTATTGTTGAGACAGAGACCCACCCTATGCCCCTGAGCAGAGTGCAGGGGCAGTAGTAATAGTAGTAGTAGTAGTATGGTGGAGTAGCCCACTGCAACCTCAGACTCAGGCTGTGGGCGTCCCGCTGCCTCAGCCTCAGGAAGCCACTGTGATTACAGTTGCTTGCCATGGAGCCCAGCTGGGTTTTTCCATTTTTTTCATGAGTTGGGGTCTCACTCTTGCTCAGGCAAGTCTCGAATTCCTGAACTCAAGCAATTCTCCCTCCTCAGCCTCCCACAGTGCTAGAATTACAGGTATGAGCCACCAAGTTCTGCTATAATTTTGTTTAAACAAATGTTTTAAGCCTTTGATATTTGACAAACCTTTCAAAATCAAAACTCTAAATTTGGGTGCTCTTTCTCTCCATTGGGCCTCATCTTCCTTCAACAGTTTCCAAGAGTATGCTGACATGCTGCCTGGGACCCAGAACAGGGCTTGGAGAGCATGGTGGTTGCTGTGTCACAGCCAGTGGGGTCATAGTAGATGCCGCTTCAGCTTCTCATTTGCACTCCAATCACTACACTAGACACAGAAAGTCACCACTTCCCTCCTCCCAACAAACTCATGGTCCTCAAATAAGTCCAGGACTATATCCCTTTCAGCATCCCCATGCCCAGCTCCTTGCCCAGGCTAACCAGGCATGTGTTCCTTGAAGGTGAGTTGGTCTAATATAAAGCTAGTCTCTTTCCTCAGGCAGGCCCAAAGACAAGCTGTAACCCCTATAATAGAACACCCCTAGCCCCTCCACCTTCTGCTGTTATGGGCTACAGCCAGCCCCTTTCTACACCCTTCTCTCTCAAAACCTTTTACAATAGAGGTGCTGAGGGAAGTGGGGAGTGGTCTTGGAACAATGGGTCCAATTCTCTGAAAAGGGGCCTGAGCTCCAGATTATTTTGGAAGGCCCTAAACTTGGGCTTTTACCTCTATAGCCTGAAACTGTGAGACCATGAGATCAGAAGACAACAGAAGGCAGTGCCTGTGGCTCAGTGAGTAGGGTGCTGGCCCCATATACCAAGAGTGGCGGATTCAAAGCCAGCCCCAGCCAAACTGCAACAACAACAACAAAAAGGAGACAATAGCTTCCTCTCAGCCCTGGTGAGCTGCCAACTAGATGTTCTCTGTGTGTGCCTAAATCTATGGAGATAGCTTTGTAGAGCTTCAGGCTGCCCCCACTTCAGGTGAAAAAGTCATCAGTTGTTCTAACCTTGCCTGCTTCTAATCTCAAGTGACCTCCACCCAGGCCCCTTCCAGAGGTCACATTACCACATCTCAGGTTATTCCCCTGCCTTTAGGCACTGCCCTAAGGGGCTCTCAGGCTGGAGGAAGGGGTGACTAAGAGAGCCTTCAAGGGCACTGAGCTCTCCCGCTAGCAGGTCCCGCTGGGCGTAGCCTGGAGGCTTGCAAAAACTAAGGCAAGGGAGAACACGAAGGAAGGGTTCCTAGTAGATCTCAACTACAGTGCGTACAACTGGATTCCAAGTTTGCTGGTTGGGGCCCAGGAGCAGAAGCCTGTGCGCCAAATTGGCCCCTCACTATTCCCTGCCAGCTTCCTTTTCCAAGGGAGAAGGGCATCAGTAAATGACAGGCTCTGATCCTCAGTTACACTCGCCCAGATGCCCTCAGGGACTGTTTGGTGGTGGTGCAGAGACCAACCCAGTTAACACTACCAATTTGCGGCTGGGCCCAGAGAAATTAGGGTCGAGGCCACACACGCGTTCAGCTCCTCTGTAGCCTTAGCCTTAGCCCTGCAGAGTTCTGCCCTGCTCCCGCCGACAGACCTTAGCCCCACCCCAACCCCGCCCCCCCCCAATCCCGAGGGTCCCTCCGCTTTTAAGCCTACATCCTTCTTAGCTCCACTCTCCCCTGGAGGCTTAAACCTAAGGCAGGCAGCTTAGTGATCTGGCGCCACCTCCTGGGAGATGGGGGAGATGGTGGACACTCTTCCCCTTCTTTGGCCCAAAGGGGCTGTGGCAGTCCACTCTGCTATGTTAGGGAGCATCTTGAGCCACTACCAAGGTTGAAAGGTGCCCCTATCCCTACCCCGAATCTGCCTAGGAACCTGGATCTGGCCACATGGACCCTTCCACAGCAATATGGACAGAACAATTTCCCCCATCCCAGCTGAGACTCCAAGGTTAACTCCCCCAAAGCTGGGGGCCATGAGGCTAGCAAGTGCCCCAGGAGCCAAATCTCACATGTTGCCCAAGACCCCAGGGTGCCGTCAGGTGGTTTCCTCCTGCAGAAGCACCCCAACTCCAGCTGATCTGAACTTCTTACCTACAGGTCTTCTAGAGTCCCCATAGGGAAAAGGTATCCAAAAGTTTTAAATAATTCTTTGCTTCTCTATGACAGGAATATAATTTTATAGTCAGAAAAAAAAAAACTAACATGTTTGGGTCAGACTCAAAGAAGTGAATGGGCCTCACACCAGCCCTAATTCTTGGACCAATTCCCTTGCCCCCTTTGGGCATCAGTGACCTTGCCTCAAGACAAAGATTGAGAAGGTGAGCACAGCAGGAAAAGAGTAAGCTACCAGCCAATTTGGATGTTCAAGATACAGATATGGAGAAAGAGAAATGAAGTTCATCCTAAAAGACTGATGCTTGAGGCTTGGCGCCTGTAGCTCAGCAGCCAGGGTGCCAGCCACATACATAAGAGCGGGCAGATTCAAACCCAGCCTGGGCCTGCTGAACAAGACATCTACAACCAAAAAATAGCCAGGCAGGAGGCTCAGTGAGTAGGGCGCCAGCCCCATAAACTGAGGGTGACGTATTCAAACCTGGCCCCTGCCAAACTGCAACAAAAAAATAGCTGGGCATTGTGTCAGGTGCCTGTAGTCCCAGCTACTCAGGAGGCTAAGGCAAGAGAATGGCCTAAGCCCAAGAACTGGAGGTTGCTATGAGCTGTGATGCCATGGCATTCTACCGAGGGTGACATACTGAGATTCTTTCTCAAAAAAAAAAAAAAGACTGATGCTTGAATTGGGCCATCCATGCCTTTTTGAGGGGGGCAGTTTTTAGCTGGGGCTGAGTTTGAACCTACCACCTCTGGCTTACGGGCTGGTGCCCTACTCCTTTGAGCCACAGGCACCTCCCAGGGCCATCCATGCTTTATAGGAGCTGGGAAAGGACCTCTCTTAGGAGATTGTTCAGCCTATTGGGAACAGGGGAGGCCAGCTTGGGGCTGTATTGAGGCAAGTAGTGTAGAGACTCCAGTCCCCGCCAAATGCGTAGTATTCCAGAGGGTCAGGCTACTACTCATTCCTAAACACACAAGATTCTCCTGCCAGCAGCCCTGACCCAAGACTAGCCCAGGGATTTTGGTTGGTCAAAGGCAGTGCCTTTATACCAAGAGAGATTGGGGGTGACCCGTTATCTCAACTCCAATCCCCAGTTCTTAGGATGTCCCAGAACCCCCTAGAGATTAACACTATCCTCATATCACAAATGGGGAGGCCATACCTGAGAGATCCCAGGAATCTGTCCTAAGTAAGAAGCGGATGGGAAGGCAGATTTCTGTGGGTCTGATAGTCCCTTCCTTCTCCTACCTCCATCCCTTTCTCTCTAGCTCAAAAGACCTGAGCAAACAATGCCCACCCCAGCCAAGGGAAGGTCACAGGGATCTGGCAGGATTGCCAGGGAACAGGGGTCTGCCAGGCCTAACAGCAAATATTTCCTTATCCCCCAAAGGAGGTAGGGTGGGCTGAGGTCAGAAGTCCTTGCAGCTTTTCTTCCTGCCCTAATGGGCCTTAATATTCTCTGCTGAGACCAAGTTACTTTACTTAACCTCAGGACAATGAACTCCACTCACAACCAGTGGCTTTGGGTTACACACTGAGCAGAACTTCCTGAGGTCAAGAGAGAAGGGGCAGGGTCATTTCCTGGAACCCTGCTGCTAGGCCCAGGGAGACATGTCCCTGAAGGCATGTTGGGGACAGCCCTTCCTGGCTCTTAGTGTGGTGCCCACTCAGGTCCTAACTCTACAAGTTGTTTGAAGAACTGCTCACTCTGGGACTGAGCTCTATCTGCAACATGGGACCAGTCTCTTCTCTGGGTCTTAATGGCTGAACGAAGGACCAGCCCGGGAATTGCAGGGGGTTATGGTAAGGAACTGGAAGCTATTCAGAGTAGAGATAAGCCCAGAATACCAGTAGATCTGTGACCAATGGCTTGATCCTGCCTAAGATACAACTGCTGCATCTATTACCTCCCACATACCAAGCAGTGTTCCAGGACAACCCATCTGTCCCTTCTTGGGTACTGAGTCACGTTCAGCTTACCCAAATGGCCTGTCCACCCCCAGCCAACAGGCTAACAGGCCAACCAGGGCAGAGCAGCCTGGCCAGAAACTTTTCACCTCTTCTCCTCACCCCAAGACCAATGCCAAACCTGCCTTGAGACTGGGGGAAGGAGCTGAGATAGACCTGCAGCAAGGGACATCCTTAGGTCTCCATTTTCTCAGAGTCCCAGCCAAAAGGACCCCTGGCCAGGAAGCGAACAGAAAGCCTGCGACAGAACCTTTCCTATCATCCGCCTTCATACCCAGTCTCATTGGCTTCTCTGTCACCACTTACCCCTTACAGATGAGGAAATTGGGGATCAAAGAGACTTGTCTTATCTGGTTCACAAGCAGAATAGGTGCCATGGGGTGTTACGTGTTGGCAGAGTTTCTGGAGCACACACCCAGCCCTCCCAGTACAGAAATTATAAGGCTTTATTATTGTTGTGTGGAGGCCATCAACCAGTTTTACATGAGCCTAGCTGAGTCCCTGCTTTTGTCACATGGGCTCCTCATCACTCGTGTCCAAGAACCTGCCCCGGGACCAAGGGAAATAGATGCTCAGAGGCAGTGACATTGTAATAAAGACACTGCTTTTATTTAGTTTGATATGTTTCTATACAGAATGCAGAAAACACATCTTAAAATCATATAGAAAGAAATAAAAACACATCAGTGGTTGGTGAACACTTGAATGTGAGATTGGCTCTCCATCTCAGAGTCCAATGGCCATCACCAGCCCAGTGCTCAGGAGGAGACTGCCTGCAAAGGCATTGTTGCTGTTGTTATTCTGTTCGTTGCCCCATCACCTGCAGTTGCTATGGCAACTGGCCATTCTGGGCCAGCCACATCTTTTGTGTGGTAGTGCCTGAAGTGAGGTTGCTAGGGGCAACAGGGCTGTTTGGAAGGCCTTGCAAAACCCTCACCTGGAAAGTTGGGAATTGTTTATTTTTCGAGGAGGTTATCAGAAATAATCTCACCAGATTCCACTTGTGCTCCTGTCTTTGGGGCATCAGGGAAACTCCAGCTTGGGCCACAGCTTAGAAGCATGATCCCTGTTATTTGCAGTCCACTGAGCCCTCATCTACAGGCTGCCCTCACAGGGGCACTACTCACTCCAGAGTACCCTGCTGGGGGCGGCTGGGACAGATAGAGGGGCTAGGCCCTGTAGAATTAGGCGCAAGGAGTAATGCCCTCTGGAGAACAGTAGGATGGAGACCCCTCTCCTGCCGGACCTCCCATCCTGAGGCAGCACACACAAATCCTCTGCAAAACAGATATGGCTTAGAAGTAGCTGCTCCGTGTGCAAAGGGAGCCTAGGTCCACCGACCTACCCTCGATCAGAGAAGGGATACATTATTGCAAAAGGCATTCCTTCCTTAAAGATACCCCAAATAACTCTCAGACATTGATGAAAAAGTCATGCTCAAAATGGTTTCTTTCAAAGGAGAAGAATCAAAGCAGAGTGGGTGCCCCTGAGTCATGGGACAGAGATGCAGATGGACGGACGGATGTTCTGCTAAAAAGGCAAAAGAGGTCCCAGTGTAATTTCAGAATTTAAACTTTTAAGAAAAGAAGGGTGAAAAAAATCAAAATGAGCAAAGCCATCAGTTCCATGGAATCAACACTAGAAGCTTGTACAAACTGCAGTAAGCATCACCATTTTAAATCTTTTTTTTTAATAAAACAATTTGAGGCTGTATAAAAACTTTAGTAAAAAATTAGCTTTGAGAGCCCACAAATTTTTACTATGAACTATTGCTGGCACTCCTCCCCAGCCACCAGACCTTTTCCAGTTGTTCAGGCCCAAGGCCTAGGACTGGAGCGCCAGATAAAAGGGATGGGTAGGTGGGGTGGGGCTGTGGACTATTGGGACAAAGTGGCCAAAGTCAAGTGAGGAAAGAGCATCACATGACATAAAAATATTGCATCTTCACCAAAATGTCCCCCACTGAATGTTTCAAAAACCATGATATTCCTTTTGGGGGTGGGGGGACACAGAAGGATTGAAACAAAAAAAAAAAAGATTGATGTGGTAGAGTCCCTCGTCCTCCCAGTCGCCCCCATGAGTAGCTGGCCCACCTTGGAGCACCTAAGTTGGGGGCCACAGCCACTGCTGACTCTTGGAGTCCCCTTTCCACGGAAATGAAGACCCCTTGGTGGTGAGCCACTAGTGTACATGGAGTGGAGGTGAGGATGTACATGGCCTAAGAGGTCTCTCCAGCTTCTAGCCCCCAGCAACAGTAGAAGAAATAACCCAGCACCAGGGCCCTGGCCTCTGAGCCAGGGCCAGGAGGCCTCCCATCAGGCTCTGGGGTATCAGAACAACCAAGTTGACATAGTGTGAAAAAATAGGATTCCTTTGATAAAAAATACTGTCCCTTGGTCTTCTCCAAGTTTGAAACACCCTGGGAGCTTATTTTTAACAAAGCAATTCCCCATACCCACCCCCAAATCATACAAGTTTAGGTAAACAGCAGATTAAATGTAAAAACTTAAACTTAACTTCTGAAAGTCCTCTGAATTTAATCTTTAGCTACTGTTTTCCATGTTACATCCTGCAGCTAGACACACGTGAATAGAAAAAACAGTACAGTTAGTGTTAAAGGCAAAATGCAGAGAGCTGGGGGGCCGCCCAGCACTGCTGCAAGTTCATTCACGGTTCCTCGCTCCCTCTATCTATCTCTACTCAAACAGTGCTGTCAGAGCCAGCTATCAAAAACGCAGCGAAGAATTTTCTATGAACAAACAAAAAGCTGTTAGGCAAAAAATAAAAATAAAAATGTCCCCAAAGTCTTTTCAGCTGCTTTGGGGTTTGGGAGGACCAGAGAGGGCGGGTTTGTCTAGGCCCCATGTGTCAGTGTGTGCTAGGTCAGGTGTCAGCTCCCGGTGGGCAATGGTCTGCAGGCCACCAGTTTCCAAAGACAACACCATGTTGTCTCTAGGTCCCTGCCCTACCCCTGCCTCCACCCAGGCGCTTAAGGGTTAAGGAGGGACATAAGGAGGGGGTGACCGGTATGGGGTCATGTTCTTGGGACGAGAGCCCTTGCCCTCCATGGGGGCTGTGAAGGGCGGAGGTGGCTGGTAGGGAGGTGCATTGGGATCCTCATCCCGAAGGGGCGTATACTCTCCCACGGTGTCCTGGTTCAGAGGGGTGGTCTCGGGCACATTCTGGTTGGGATACTCAGGAGGCGGCAAGGGAGCCTTCTCCTCTTGCAGAATGAGTGGCATGCTGGAGGAGGGTGGGGGCTTAGAGTCATCCAGTTCATCTGCAAAGATGATAGGCACGCCCTTCTTGATGAAGGTGGCCTGGTCCTCAAGGGTAAGCTTTCCCTTTCGCTTCTTGCGATAGCAGATCATGGCAATGATGCCAGCAATGAGCAGGATGGCTGCGACCACCACAGCAGGAATAACTGTATGCAGGTAGACATCGTCCTCACTGCTCTTCTCAGGGTCCCTGTCTGGTGCCTCTGTGGGCGGCACCTCTGAGGGCACCCTCTTGGCTGGTGCCACTGGGATAAACTGTAGGTGCCGACAACTACCAGAGCCTGTCACAGCAATGCTTGTGGCCTTAAAGTCAGGCTCCAAGGCGTTGGAGAAGGCGGGCCGAGGTTTCCCATCATCTTCAGCAATCCGCCGGCTCAACCCTATGATCTGCTCCTTGGGGCAGGGTTCCAGGGGCAATGTGTTATTGGTCCATTCCACCACAATGGAACCCCGGGTGATATTCTGCAGGGTGATAGTGCTACAATTTCGGTCCCCAAAGGCAAAGGCCAGCTTCTTCACTAAAGCAATCTTCCTGTGGATGTCACTGACCACTGGTGCTGGGTCACCCACAAATTTGGCCTTGAACCGCACAGGAGCCTTATCTCCTTGAGGGCGCCTATGGACGTGTATCTCGAAGGCATCCACAGCTGATAGGCCCCCCTTATCTGTAGCATGCATGAAATATTCATGTTTTCCCACATGGCTACTGTCAGGCAGGCCATACATGAGCTGGCTATTGCTGTTGAACTGTACCCAGGACTTCTCACCTACCAGCTGCTGCTCCCGTAGCTTCAGGGTCAGCTTTAGTTTGTCAGTGGTGGTGTCTTCCTTGTCATAGAAAGTGTCTGATGGGATCTTCACCTCAAAGTAGGTACCAACCCAAGCATCTACCCTATCAATGTGGTTCTTGAGCTCTGGGCGTTGGTTAGGTTCTCCGCCTCGGGGTATTCCACTGGTGGTGGTACGGATGCGAATAGGTGGAGAGGCCGTTTCCAATCTGGTGATGGGAGCTTTGGTGGTAACCCGAGGTACTGGTCGGGGAGTTCGTGGTTTCTTCGTTGGCCTGCGAGTTGTGGTGGTTGAAGAGTCAGTTGAAGGCGTTGCTGGTTTGGGCGTGGATACTCGTGGCTTCTTGGTAGTAGTTGTGGGAGGGGTAACAACTGCAGTGGGTTCCATGTAGCCAGGAATGGTCATGGTTGGACGAATCTGGCCAGAAACTGTGGTGCCAGCTTCTGACACCCGAGTGGGCTGTGTAGGGCCTAGGGTTGGGGTCTGAATAATGGCACCTCGAGTCCGAATGGTGACTGTGGGCTTCCCAGGAACAGGATCCCTGACTGGAGGAGCCATGGTTTCTGTAGGAGGAGCAATGGATGGAGATGTTGGGGTGGGCACGATCCTGGATGGTGGCTCCTGGATTGCCGTGGTCGGGGGCCCAATGGCAGTGACAGGTGTGGGTGTGGCATGGATCTGCCTCCGGATGCGTTTGGGAAGAGAAGGTTTCTTATTGGCAATGTGCCAACCCACCACAGGGTAGCCAAGGTGGGCAGACATAGCACCCTCCCTGGCAGGGGCCTCCACACCACGAATATCAGGCACATTATTCTGGTTCAGGGAGCAGCCTAGCTTCCAGGAGAGCAGGGCCCCATTCTCTACCACCTTTTTTGCATTTCCTGGGCCAGCCATGAAGGCCGACATGTCAAATAGTCTATTATTCACTACAGGCACCAACTTCATGTTGTGAAGCTCCACTTCTGAGAACCTCCGCATCTTGTGCAGGAGGTCAACCCTTTGCTTTGGGGTCATCTTGGTGAGGTCAGCATCCAGAATCACTGTCAAAACAGTCACTGGCTCGTCAGCAACACAGGCAGATGACAGCAGCTCACCAGGGTCTGGTGAGGCTGCCCGCACAGACTGTGGCTCACTGTGGTCTTCAGGATAAACCTCAATGGAAAACACACTGGAGGTCTGGGGAACATGGCTCCCGTTGGCCCCCAGCCGTGCAGCACTTACTGAGATGTAATGCACACCCTTATCAGTGTCAAGAGGGAGGCCCTCCAGCATATGGCTCTCCAGATCCCAGTACAGCCACGATGGCAAAGCCTCCTTTCCCACAGCTGATACCTAGAAGAGACACAAGCATAAATTATAATTGCTATTGTCACTGCATACCCTGAGAATTGTCACAGTAGTTAGCCACTAACCTAGCCTGAATTGGGTGATAGGCTTGAGGTATAATTCAGAACTCCTGTTGGGGAATCCAATTCCTCCCCACAGAAAGGCACAACCAAACCATCACAAAAGACTGGAACTGCAAGATGGGATGGACTAGGAGCAAATAATTCACCCAAGGCCACACACGGGGGAAGACAGTGGTACTAGCATTCAGGTACATCTCATTCCAGAGAACTGGTATCATGGAGCTCAAAAACATTGTGGATTTTTGTTTTTTTTTTTAGAGACAGAGTCTCACTTTGTCACCCTCAGTAGAGTGCCATGGCTTCACAGCTCACAGCAACCTCCAGCTCTTGGGCTTAGGAGATTCTCTTGCCTCAGCCTCCCAAGTAGCTGGGGCTACAGGCGCCCACCCCAACACCCAGCTATTTTTTTTTATTGCAGTTTGGCTGGGGCTGGTGCTCTACTCACTGAGCCACAGGCACCGCCCAACATTGTAGATTTTTATAACAGTGAGACATGTGCCACCTATTCTACCTATACCCGTAGAATGAAATCGCAGTGTATCACTCCAGCTCTCAGTGCTTCTCTCTGGTTTTTTGTTTTTTTGAGACGGAGTCTCACTATGTCGACCTCAGTAGAGTGCTGTAGCATCACAGCTCACAGCAACCTCAAACTCTTGGGCTTAAGCGATTCTCTTACTTCAGCCTCCCAAGTAGCTGGGACTACAAGCACCCACTACAATGCTCTGTTGCAGTTGTCATTGTTCTTTAGCAGGCCCAGGCTGGTTTTGAACCCACCAGCCTGGGTGTATGTGGCCAGCACCCTAGCTACTAAGCTACAGACGCTGAGACTTCTCTCCAGTTTCACCTCAGACTTCTTCTCTCCTTTGCCCGCCACTAATACCATGCCTTTGCTCAGGTCATATGCCTAGTCTGGCATATCTTTCCTATCCAGAAGTACAGATGCATGCAGGTCCTGGTACAATGCTCCAGAGGACTTACTTTACACTTATCATGTTACATTCAAGTGGAGTGCAGCGTATTTGTATAAAAATAAAGATAGCTGTATCTAATGTTTTAATTAACCCTGTTTCTCAAACCTCAAGAAAAACTATTGTGTCCAGGGTAAAGGGACCAGAATCAACTATTCTAGAATAGTGTTTATCAGACAAATCCCAAGGAGCTCTGGTCTCTCCCTATAGTCTATGGGAAATATAGAGAGCTCTCTTTTGCCCTTCGGGAGCCTAAGCACAGAAGGAAGCATAAGGAGCTCATCTGCTTATTCCACTCAACAGCACCTTCCACTTCTTTCAGTGTGGAAGTCCTTTTCTCCAGGGACATAACTGGTAATGTTTAGAGCATCCAAAGGAATGCATAGAAACTTTTACCATCTATTAACAAAAGGGAAATTAAGATTTGCTGGGTGGTGCCTGTGGCTCAGTGAGTAGGGTGCTGGCCCCATATACTAAGGGTGGCGGGTTTGAACCTGGCCGTGGCCAAACTGCAAAAACAACAACAACAAAAATAGCCGGGTATTGGGGCAGGCACTTATAGTCCCAGCTACTCGGGAGGCTGAGACAAGAGAATTGCCTAAGCCCAAGAGCTGGAGGTTGCTGTGAGCTGTGATGTCACAGCACTCTACCAAGGGTGACAAAGGGAGACTCTGTCTCTAAAAAAAATAAATAAAAATAAAATAAAATAAATAAGATTTGCCTCTTGTCCAGGCCCAACTGTGGCTCTTCTCACCTTTGGAAAATAACTAC